AGTAACTGAACTACTCTTAGTATTACATACATTATCAAAAAAGCAAATAAAAAATATATATTTTTATTTTATTTTTTTTTTGTTCTTTTTATCTCTTGAGAATAGCAATTTGGATTTAGATGTATGTGTGTATGTTTTGATTTCTTCTTTTTTGGTTTTTTTTTGTTCTTCGCACTACTGATAAAATACATGCGCAAACATTCAATTAATTCATGACTTTTGATGATGACATATGTATCTTCTTGTTCATGAGAAGAAAAAAAAAAAAAAAAACGAATAAAAGAACAACAACAAACAGATTGAGAAAATATATGGATTGAGTTAAATTAGTCCTTGATAAATATTGTAGGAAATAAATGAAGTTATTTTTAAACAAAAAAAAGAAAAAAATATTGTATTTTCAGTTAGATTAATTATCTAATAGTTGCCTGTCTATCTGTTATTTAACTAAAAATATTCATTATTATTTGATTTTTTTTAACTAAAACTTATTAAGATACACGTTCTTTTCTTTTTCCTCTAATTATTTTACAACTATTTCTATGTAATTTTTAGAAAATCTTTGAGATCAATTAAAAGGCACTTTAATTTTTCTGTTTTTTTCAATTGATAACCTATTAAACGTACATTGATGTTAATTGATGAAAGTTCACGTCATACATATGTGTACTGTCTATATTGTATTTCTACAAAATCACAAGTGTTTTTCTTTATTAGATCAACAAATTGTTAAATATTTGTTAATCTCGCTAATGAGAATAAAATTTCTTAATTATTTTTCAACTGAGAACAATTTTAAATGATGCGTTGTGCTATAGGAGAACAATGGTTTATGCATAATCTCAAAGGAGAACATTTTTTTTTCGTATATTTTCTCAGAGGAGAACTATTATAATTTGGAAGATTAAAGTATAAGCTAATTCAGAAGATTTACTTCTATGTAGTTGGAGAAGTGGACAACGTATGAAACGTCGGCAGACTCGAATCTAGGAGAAGACCTTCGATAATTGTTCTAATCAAAAACTCTCCTATAAACAGTATTTCTCCACAAATTCTTGTTCTAACCACTCGAAAGAGTTACACAACACCATCTTTAGTGCCTTACAAACTAGCATCTCTAGTAAAAAGTACCCGTCGTACACTTCGTGTCAACATTTATGCATAGTATAGCTAGTAACATGCGAGTGATCACTTGTAAAGACTATTTAACTATATACGGAAGTGTACGGCCTTGATACGAATGTATCATCATAACTCGTAGTTTCCTTTTGCACAATTTAGTGCCATGGGAAAATATGTAGTTGGCAAAGTGCAACGTATGAAAGATCAGCAGACTCGAATCTAGGAGAAGAACTTCAAAAATTGTTCTAATTAAAAACTCTCTTATAATTTCTCAATTAAGAAGATTGTTAAAGCATTTCTAGACAAACATTTTTTGTTATTTCTGGTAAGAATCTTATCCGAGTCTTATCAGATTCTTACATAAGAAGTCCGCAAGAAGAAGAATTTCGAATATGAATCTGATAAGAATCAGGTAAAATTTAAATAAGAATGAGCGATGACTTTGATAAAGTGCTCCTATCACTTTCTTATGAAATTCTTACCAAAAGTCTCAATCACTGTTTTATTTTGCAGAAGCACATACTATATAAACATCACTGATTTCTTGAAATAAATTTCCAAAGTTTCTTCAAGTTAGGTAAGACCGGTCGTTTTGAAAATGCCTCGCGACCTGTTGCACATTCACTAATGAACTATACAGCTAACTAAAGAAGGAAAAAAAACATTGGAAGTTTTTGTCAGTTCTTGCCCTTTTCTTGTTGAATTCTTAACTAATGCTTATCTGTTTTTTATCAAATTCTTGTCACTTCTGTGCGAACTTCTTAAGCAAGAATTCAATAAGAATCTAATTAGATTTTTATATGATTCGTAGCGGATTCTTATAAGTGTCTTATCAGATTCCTGTCAGATTCTTTTGTAAGAATCGATCTCTAGGGGTAGAACCAGAGGTACAACCGGTACCGGTATACCGGCATGAATTATACCGGTGACCGGTATACCGGCATGAATTATACCGATGACCGGTATACCGATATTAGTATGAAGTATAATCAATTGGTCGACATTACTGATATTTTGCGATATGATACGATTTGGCCAAAAATATCGTGTAAATTTAGTTTATCTATGACATATTTCTATAAAAAAGGAAAAAGTGTTTGTATTTAGGCAAAAAACGATCAAGATAAGTTGGTACCGGTACGACGTTTGTATACCGGTGACCGGTACCGGTATCGCATTTTTGATACCGGTTACACCCCTGGGTAGAACTCGTAAAAGAATAAGATAGCTGTGGTGACGGTGCCCATTCTTAGCTGAAACTACGACTTGGAAGCTGTAGAGACTGTAGCGCAGTTCAGAAGAATAAAAAATACCATGATGAACGTTTAACCTAGCAATATTATACCTTCAGCAAACAATTATCGAACAAAAAAATGTCATTACCATTTGCTACTGTATTGAGTAAGTTGTCGGTTTAGTATTTCTCCTGTTGTTACAACTAAATATCAACTGTATTGATTTAATCGTTATAGAATACTGTACAATAGTTTATCAGATGATATTTTAAAAGTTTCGAATACTGACGCTTGAAGAAAGAAACAATCTTCGACATTGTTCTCAATCGAGATGGCACCGAATTTTCTTTACTCAAAATAGACATGTCTAGTCTAATCTAATTAAGATGAAGCAAATAACAGGTTGACATGTCTTCAATATAAACAAATTATTAATTAGAATTTTCTTTTTTTATATGTATAAAAATAGACTAGTATTCTCCAGTCAAATGTGTTTCTACTGATATTTTTATTCATTATAACCCCAATCTTTAAGTCTTCAAGTAAAATTAGAAAAATATTTCTTATTAATGTTGGAATTAGAATCTATAGACTCAATACTCGCGAAAAGAATGTATGATTAAATTAGAGTATATTTTTATTATAGATTATAGATTAATTTATCATGTACATATGTTATGAGAAGATAATAATTTATTGTAGATGTGTCTATGAAAATAACACTAATATATATAAGAATAGAGGTATAACATGAATCACTGAAAAAAAACAAGTGAACAATTCTATTTCGAATTCATAGGAGATTTTCAACTTTGTTAACATAATAATACTTTGTCACATATTTGTCAAAAAATAGGAACTAATCGAAGACAAACATATCACTTTTAAACTTGATAACAATAGAATAGACACGAAATAGGCTTAAATTAATCGAAAACAATGACAAAGAGCTAAAAACTGGATGTAACTACTATCAAAATATAGAACAGGAAACTCTTCTTTTTCTTTTGAATAAACTTTAGCAAATAACGAGATGAAGATTTGTGATTTTTGCTATTCAAAAAAATCAAAACAAGACTAGAACAAGAAGTTAAACCTAACTTCAGTACTTATCTTGAAGATCGGTTTTCAAAAAGAATCTCTAAAACACAAAATCATTTTGGATTTATGAAATTTGAAGTATACATATATTTACTTTTTACGTGGTTAGACAGCTTATAAAGTTTTCGTCAAAAGAGCAATTTCATTTCTAACCGTTTAGGCGTAGTATTACTGAGAGGTCTAGAACTAATATCGAATTATCCGAGAACACCCTAAAAACGGATAGCATACTTGAAGAAGGCAACTAGCCGAAACGCGTCGTGTCTTATCTCTCATTTTTATTTTTATTTTTCGTAGTTTACTTGTTCGTCAATTTTCTTACTTTTTTTTTTACTTTTTCGTAAAATTAGTTGTTGCATTAAACACAATCAATTCAGTTAATTAAATATAAACTTTAATGTTTAGGATATTATAAATTAACTCTAACTCATTTTAAATTTTACCTAATTTTCACATACATCTGAATCTAATTAACTAATATTTATCGTAGTTTTATTGAGAATCATAACAAGCACATTAATATAACATACCATTTTTAAAAGAATGTTTAAAAATGTTGATAGGTCTGGTTGTTGTTATTATTATTATTTATCTCTGTAATCCATTTTTTTTTCTTCATCAAAACGTTTATTTAAAGTGATTTGACATAGCCGAAAGCGAGAAAAAGTTTTGTATGTCAAATCGGAACTAATAAAGACACTTTTCTTCATAATAGACAATGGACAATTTAGCTTTTAATTCGGAAAAAAGAAACGATATGTTTGAAGTAGATTGTGCCTATAGGAAAAGTGAGAAACGGAAACAAAACAACACATGATCTTCTATATGATTATTGTTATCCTATATTTAACTGTTCTTAATGATAGGAACAATTGAATATTAACTCTACTTCTTCATAGAAAAGATGCATTCAGACATAAACTAAGATTATAAGCTAAGATTATTCAAGGAAAAAAGAAGTAAACGAACTGGAAACCAATTGGAACGGTTACTGCCCAACTAATCGTTCATTTGATTGCCTAATTCTTTGACAACAACTAATTTCATTCAATCAAAGCTAAACTCAAACTTGATAAATGTATACCTTTAATCTAAATGCATGTGTCCGCTTCACGATTTTTTCATTCTTGAATACAAAAGTTTCGTTTCTCTTTTAGGAATATCTTTCAGAAAATTATCAACAATGATAGCGTTCAAAACTAACTGTTCTTGAGTATTTCTGAATAACTTCTAAAAGAACATATTGATAGACATTTATCATTATTTTGTAGTTAAAGTCTACAACTACTAAACTGATAGATAGCTAAACCATTTGAAAGATATACATGAAAGTTTCTTGTAGCATAAAATTGTCTTACAATATTTATCTACAGTAGCTTATCTGTTTTTTTTTCAATGTCTATTTATAATAGCTAAATCATCAAAGTGTAATGTATACATAGCTAAGTTATTTTGATTACTAAAACTTTATGAATGTTTTTTTTGTAAAACAAAAAAGTACATTAATTAAACATCTCTCATCAATCGTACCATATGGATTATTCAAAGCCAATTAGTTGATTTCTCATTTATTTTGTGTTCTGTTCCATTATAAATCAACGTTAACATCGATTTTTGAGATTCTGATGAAGTCATTGTTAAACCTAAATAAGAATATAATCAAGATGAATTTTTATTATTTGAATAATTAAACTTACATTTGTTAGATTTGACAATAAATGTCCATTTATGATTTTTATAACTAAATGTTCCCTAAAAAGATAACATCAAAAAATAGTAATAAAAATAATAACAATATGTCTTTGCACGTACATGATCACCAGCATGCCACTGAAATCGATTAGGATATGCTTGTAAAATGTGAAGACCTAACTTGTTTATATTTGGTGTTTTGGTACATGATAGAAACACTAACAGACGATCAACGAGTCTTTTTCTGAAAGAAAAACAATTTTTATATATCAAATGACGTTCTTTTGTCATCTTGTGTAGTATAGACCTACTCCTGTTTTATATCAATAACAGTATCTTTCACATTCACATAGGAGACCGGTTTCAATATTCTAAAACAAAGTATATAATAGTAAAATGAAGAATATTCTCAATAAAAAGAATGTTATAAACCACCTAGCTTAATTACCACTTAGTTATTGTTCGTAAACTTAAGAGAAAATGTTATTTATGACAGTTCGATATGTGCTGAATTCAATTCTTCTAACTGAGTATGCTTTGCTCAAAGAATAGATTAATCAAAACTATCAGTGATTTCCATTAGGGGGGAGTGGAGGAGGCAGAAATTCCCCTTCTTCTTTGAAATGAATCACTCACTGGAGAAAAAATATTACTCAGTTCATAAAAAAATTTGTTTACTCCGAGAGAATATTTCAGAGTTCCTCAATAAAATTTCCCCCCCTCCTCTCTGCCAAACTTATAGCGAAAACGCTGAAAATTACACATACGTATCATTCATTGTATCGAGTAAACGAATTGATTTTGCACGCAATGCAATTGGTGTTGTAGGTATAGATGAATAAAAGTGATCATCTTCTTGAAATAATGACAATAATGTCTTCTTTGCAGTACCATTTACTGATTGACCTGATCCAATTGACGGTTTCAAATTCGACTCACTTATTTCATTATTATGAGGAGTTTCTAAAATAAAAGATTATGTGTAATAAGAAGACAACGTACATGGCACTCTTTTAAATCGATACCTGTAAAAAATTTTAAACGAGCTATGGCATTTCGTTCTCGAATACTCCGTGCTGAAACTTTAAAGAAAACAAAAACAAATTGAAACAAAGGAATTGAGAAAAAGTTAGTCAGTTTCCCACTTGTAATTCAGAATGTAAATGGGATTGCAACCTATCACTGATGAAACACTTAGACCTTACCATTTTTTCTACAAAGGATATATCAATTTCAATAAAACATCCGAAGTAGGATGTAAAAACGGTACTACCCGTTAACTATTGAACTTCAAACTATGAAAATCGTTTAACTCGAGATGTTACCTTTTCTGACCTTGTTGTCGCTATCCTGCACTACAGCTCTGTAGAAACTCCTTTACTCTTACCGGACAGGGTTAGGGAGGCTTTAAGGTCATCTGAAATCACAAGGTAGGGTCAAGGCACAAACAAACGTTTATCCTGTATATCTCTATCCTGCATCAATATAAATAACAACGAGAATATAACTGAATTTAATGGTACCATTTTTCTTCTAGACTTTGTTTCTACTTGCTATCTTGGAGATATTCAGCAGTTTAGATAAATTATTTCAACAAAAACTTAGCGTACGCTCTAAGTAAACAACAAATACAATATTTTCTTAGTGGAAAAAACAAGATTAACGTCTTAATGAATCGCGACTTGATACGATAGATTTTAACAAAATCTTATCAAAACATTTTCGAATATCAAATATGAAATCAAAGAAATGAATGACAGTCATATCGAGATTTATGTTGAAAAAATAATAATTAAAAGTTGTGACCCTAAAATTCACAGTATACGGTTTTCTACTTTAAGTACAAATTCATCAGCATACAGTGAATTCTTTTTTCATGACTATCTAATTGACAATTCGAAACTAATTGACTTGTCAGAGTTCATCTGCCCACACTCAATTTAATTTTATGAATGTCTGTCACAACGTTGAAGACGTAGCAGCACCTGAAGGCATCAATATTCATCTACTGTTGTACCGTATTTTTTAAAAAAAAGTACTATTTCGTGACTTACCTACTAAAACTTCATCCATTCTACGTTAAGTCAATAAGTTCTTAGACAAGATGTAGCTCCGATTAACTGCTTTTTCTATTTTTAAATAAATTATACGTTATATACAATAATACAAGTTAACTCGATAGTGTCATGCATAATTTCGTTTTTATACAAGGAAAGCACATGTTAAACTGTATCTTTTTTACTTCCATTGTATAAACGAGTACGTGATGGAACGTGCTGATAAGAGATAGAACAAATAATGACACCATTTCAATTCAATCAGTACACAATAAATGAGTACTACCAAAGCAAAAGTTTCATCCCCAATTTCAATCGGAAAATAATTTGATAAAATTTTGTTAAAATCTTATTCGAATATAAATCACTTTGTGTGAGCTTTTTTAAATTCGATTAGAATCTGTTAAGATCTTACAAAGCGCTATTATGTTTTTTAATAAGAAATTCATGATTCCCTATGAATTATTGTATATCTTGTATAAGTCCCAGTAAACTTCATTTATCTACTATCCATTTCAAAAAACGATATCTGAAAGTATTTTTTTAATAACTTTTAAACGAAAGAAGCTAGAAACTTTAGTTCTTGCCAATCGAAAGAAAAGATTTGAAGACATCTTTTATAAGTAAAACTAGTTAAAAAATCAATTTTCAAAGAAGTGTTCCGAAGCAATCTTTATAAAACTAAAACCTAGTTCTCCAAACCAAGTAGTAATATATTGTTTTTTTGCCTGAATGGATAGTCTAAAATGTCCACGTGAAAATGAGAGTCAAGTGCAGAGATGGCACGTCAAGTCATTTTTGACTTGACTTGACTGATTTGAAAAAAATTTTGAGGATAACCTAACTTGACTTGAGAAATTTTTTGCAGGTAAAATGACTTGACTTGTGACTTGCTCGTATAAGACAAGCCAAGTCAAGTCGATTACTTTTGAAAATTTATTGTTTTCGAAAGAAGAGAAAAATGATAGTATGTTAGTTTTTCGAAAATCTGGTTACTGTTAAACATTAAACAAGTTAGCAGTTAAAATTCTTTGTGTTCCAGCTATGTCAGCTCCAGTTGAAAGAATTTTCTCTCAGAATGGTTTTCTCTTACGTCAACATCGTGATTCTATGCCTAAGAAAACTGTTCCGATCTTAACGATGGTAAAAAATGGCACCCATCGTCCATGAGTACGTGATAGTGTTCGTTTCTCTTATTCCATATCGTATTTATAATACGTCTTTGTTAATTTGTGCCATAAAAAGTCTAATCAAGCGTGAAAGAAAATCATTGAGAAAGTCAATTTATGTCATGACTTGAATATGACTTGAGACATGACTTAACTCGGCTTGTCCAGCTCTAGTCAAGTAACACCTTGATTTTCACTAGTTCGAATGTGATGTAAAACTTTACTGAAGCCGTGAAAAACTACATGAATCATACGTAATCGACCATGCTGAATCCAATTGCAATGTTTGTTTATAAAAGAGAATTCAAAAAATTGATAAAAGTCGATTACAATGAAAAATGGAGTTTTCTGTCTGTTTTCATCTAGTATGAGAAAATTCATAGCTCACTTGAAATAAACTACAACGACTGCGAAGCTTCAGAATGTACTATACTTAAAAATCACATCTAGGAAGATCAAAGTTAGCTTAGTCGATAGAAAACACGTTGGACTATTTAATCATTTATTTATCTCAAAATCGATATTTTAATGAAATATTAGGCGAAAACCGCCTGAAAACTCTAATTTTCGGTAGATTTTTTAAAATATTTTCTCAAAACAACTATTGACACGAGACTCAGTATGGTCGATTATTCATAGTCCATCTGTCTTGAAGGCTACCAATAGTCATCGGGTGCCAGTCCAGGCACTCAAAGAATCCGACACAACGCACGAACCACGATTCGAAAACTTTTATACACGGTCTAGTTTTCCAAAGATCTCCTATAAAACCTGTTTCAGAAAACTCTTCTGAAAAAATTTTGATTATGAAAACATGCCTCCTAGTCTCTTCTGTCGAATGTTGAAAATCGCAACTTTCTATTTCGATCCGTTTTTGAGTTATTTGAAAAATGGCCACGGCCACTGTTTTATTGGACAACTCACTGGAAAAAAACTTACTAATTCCTGCGTTGACTAAAAAAATCCTGTGAATGTGGATTTATGCTGCAGGTTTCACATCGCGTTACATTGCCGAAAATTTTCCTGTAAAGTGGTGAGTATAATTGTGCAGAATTCTTTAGTGCGCTCACCTTTTAAATTTCTTTCCTGCAGGATCTTCTTGGAAGATTCTTTTCTAGACACAGCATGCAGCAACTTTTAGATGCGTTCCTCGGATATATCTCGCAGGCTCTTCACTTTGCATGCTCTGCGGAAATCTTTTCCTCCTTGTTATCACTTGTAATACACAAGATATCTCATTACGAAAACCCTGCAAGGTCTGTACGATTTTATCCTGGAGAAAAGCAACGGTGACTTCCAGGAAAAATTATTACAGGAGAGTCCAAGTTTTTTTCCTACGAGATCGGACAGAATTTTATTTCCCATATCTATCCTGCGGCATCTTGCAATCTTTTCTCCACCAATGTCTGTACAAAGTGACCGTGAAGAAACTTGAATGTATTTTTATTTTTGGAAAGTTAGGAACTTTTGCATCTTTTTCTTATAAAATTATAAAAACTTTTCTTGTGTTCGGTGAACTTCGGGAAAACGTATACCTTAATATATTAACTTCAACTTCTCAATGTTTTTATCGAAGTTTTTAAATTATATACCGTTTAATATAGTATTCGAAACTGAAGAAATTAGAATAGTGTGATATCTGTACTTTGCTACACATCTTTTTTTCACAGTAGTGAGATCATTCTAATGACTTTAATTTCATATTGATGGAAGAAAATAGAATATTCTTGACATAAAAAGGATCTTTTCAGCTATCTATCAATAGTTTGGTTTGGTACACATGAAAATGCGTGTTAAAATCAAAATATTAAGGTATAGATTTTCTAAAAGTTTATTGGAGACGAGAAAAGCTTTCATAACTTTACAAGAAAAAGATGCAAAAGTATTTAACTTTCCAAAAAATAAAAAATACAGACAAGTTCCTCTACAGTCATGCTGTACAGACATTGGTGAGAAAAAATTGTAGGATGCCCCAGAATAGACATGGGAAATAAAATCCTGCCAGATCTCGTAAGAAAACACTTTGGGATTGAATACGTTAAAAAATCTTGCGATGTTTCTTACCTTTACGCAGGATTTTTTCCACGTTAATTCTATATAAACTATGCAGGATTCCGTCATGACTGACAGAATAAAAATTCTGCGTAAACGTAAGAAACATCGCCAAATATTTTAATATCGACAACCCCTGGAGATCCTATGCAAAGTGTTGCGGGATCCTTCATGACTTTTAATTATTTTTTTTCAGTGGGAAGTAGTAGATTTGCCTAAGTTTACAAGATTTTTGATTGGAATATTTGAAATAAGTGAATACAAAGAAACTCCCCAGCTTTTTTCTATCCTACAATAGAATTATTTTTTTCATAGGACACTCTAGCTGTTTTGTATTCTTATTACTTTTACTACTATAAGTAGATTATACATTACAAAAAGTAAGAATAATAGAAATGGGGGTTGAATTACAATCCTCTTACGTTTATTCTTGATGAGTAATAAAAATATCGGTCGTATGTAGGTGTGATCTGCAAAATTATTCATTTAATATAGTAAGGCGTTTAATTCAACAACAGCATCTATTTTCTAAGAGACACGACAGATAATGTAAGTGTAATATCGTTTTTTAAACAGTTAGACTTTATGTTTTATTTCTTTTTTTATATGCTTTAAACATTTATTAATTGATATTTCTGAGCATTAATATTCTACTATTGGTGACATATATATAACCACATGCCGAATAATCAGATTCTATATATGAATTGTATATGTATCAAATAATGTTAAAAAATAAAGATGTTTCTGAAATGTTTGAGAGATAAGAATTTTTCTAAACAAGGAACATTTCGAATTTTGCAGAGAATATAAATTAATTATTTAATTTTGACTATTTTCGTTCTTAATAGATATTTCATTATACGACTTCGATAGTGTGTCGGTGAGTATATCCCTTATGGTATTTATGAAGTACTGCTTCATTAGTTGTTCTTTTCAGTTCTTTCTGACCGTTTATTACTACGACTTCAATTAAGACATTAAATAATCATCGTAAAATCATTGTAAAAAATAAGTATGATTAAATGTAAAAATAATCGAATAATACACGATCCACAATATATATCCACATCGGTCGATTTTTTTCGGAATATCTCGACACATTATAAGCAAAATTCTGATATTCTACCACTATATCCTAGGATCTCACAGAATATCCGAAAACTTTGGGACAAATGATTGTGAGACAAAGTGAGAGTTTCGCGGAAAATTTGCTTACATTGTGTTGAGTTATTCCAGAAGAAATCGTCCGATGTAGAATAATTGTAGATCGTGAATAATTCTGCTTTTTTCCCGCTTTTTATCACAATTATTTTTTACAATAATAGCTCAAACAGGTGAAAAATTTCGGTATTCCGACTACCGTTCGGCTAGTCGAAATTCTTTATCTACTGATCAGAAACTAGTCGGATTGGACCAATTTCAACGGGTTACTAGTCTACCCGTCAGAAAATGGCAGTTCGCCCAGTCGATTTTGACTTCTGACCGACATCAAAAACATAAAATAGACTCGACGATATACCTATCGAACATTTACATGTGAGAGATAAGAAGTTTAAAAGGACGAATGACTCTTGTTACTCATTATTTTACGCATCTAATTTTTAACAAAATCAACTATAGCCAGTCGAAGTGAGCAGATGTCGAGATGTTTTGTTTTTACAAATCTTGTAGAATAGAAGATGTCCATATTCATGGACAAAAAAAGTCTCAATATTCATTGATGTCCATACCTCTATACTCAAAAAGTATAGAAACAGTGAAACAGAATGAACATATCAAGAACATCCTTTCA